GGAGAACTGGAGAGAGGTAAAATGGCTGACACCATCTACACTCCTTCCCTTCCTCCTCAGAATGTTGCTGAGAAGACATATAGCAGAAAAACCAGTAGAAACATGGTCTTGGGAGACTGGTACTAAAGAGAATTGTATTGGCCATGTGATAACTGACTACCAGCACTAGATGGCCAGGCAGAGGAATTTGGGTGTTGTTCTTTTATTAGCCCTAGGCATTCTGTTTCTAGCTCTTTCCTCTTAGTAGTCCTTAGTGGCTTTGACTGTAGCCCCATTGGTATATTCACTCTTCCTCCTTTCTCCCTCCCTTTCACTCTAAACATTTGAGCATGTGAATATACAAACCCCCAATAAAGCCATATTTCTTTAATTGCCAAAGGGCATGTATGCTTATCAGGGAGAGAGAGAGAGAAAGCATCCCCAGTGGGGTGTGGTCATGCCATAATCCTCCTTTCTCCATCTTGTCAGTACTTGGGCCTGCGTTCACGCACGCCCAGTGCATTATTGAAGCTGTGGGCCTGGGACTCCAACTGTGATTGGCCGAATGGGATCTAACTCCTGTAACTGCCAGCCTATAGAACCTAATTTTTATTAGATATTATTAAGACATAGAAGTAGTAAAACTAAAATCTAAAAAAATAAATAAATAAAAAAATCCACTACTAGAGAATTTGGAAAGAGAAGTACTTTGTTTTTACTAGATATATAAATTACAGTTATTTAGAAAACACCAATAACTAGTGTGTCTAGAAAGTAGACTTGGAATTTCTAAAAATAGTCAAATGAAATTCCTTCTCCTTTGAGGTCTTATGAGTTATTGTCATAATTAGTAAGGCCAAATTTGAACACAAAGGACTAGAATAAAACATTTTTGAATATTAAAATGACACTTCCAAAGCCTAAATTAAGCTTTAAAAATTCCAGACCAGTTATTTCTCTGAAACTGTACAAGACATACATAGTAGTAATTAATGTAAACACCATTTGGATGTAGATATAATAAAATTTGGGTATTAGAATATTTGATTTTACTGGATTTTGGCTTCTTTCCTATATGTTTCTCTTGCTTTCCATTAAGATTGAAACTTTACTATAATTAGCTAATCTTCCTCCATTCTCAGAACTTCAACCTCTGTAAATATGGGGAAAGGAGACCCTCCTGGGTTGTTATGGTGAATATTTGACTCTCAATTTAATAAATGTTTAAATGTCTAAAACTTCCAGTAATGCTGAATTTGGCTAGGTACCTTATGGTTGTAATATATATATATTTTTTTTTTGGAGAGATTTTCACTGTAGGGCGCGTGCGCTCGCCAGACAGACAGAGAGAGACATAGAGACAGAAAGCGAGAAATCACCCCCCAGGGGGGATGGTCACGCCGTAATCCCTTCTCCTCTATTCTCCTCTCGGGATCTTGGGCACGCACGCACACGCACCCGGCGTGAGTTTTAAGCCACCGGGTCTGGGACACGAACCGCGGTCGACTACGTGGGAGTCCAGCGACATAGCCATTACGCTAACTGCTGGCTCCCATATGGTTGTAATATTTTAAGCCTTTAAAAAATTATATGGTGGATGGCAGGTAGTGTGGTGGTTAAAGGCGTTGGATTGCCACATCGCTGACTGCAGTTCAAATCCCAGACCTGATGCTTCCTTTCTCACTTCCTCTTTCTCTGTGTCTCTGTCTGGTAAAATGAAAAAATAAAAACAACTGGGATTATATAAAGAAATAATTCTTTTTAAAAAATTATAAGAATTCTCAAATAGTGACATGTTTATCCAGATTTTTTTTTTCTTACTAGCATTTTTGTTATCCTCAATGTTTACTTCAAACAAATCGTATGCAGTTTACAATTCTTGCAGCATATGGTTGCTGCCTACACGTGTATTGTGTGCCTTGGCAAACAGCCATGTGCGACACTGAAGACTGATTTCTTAGATGAGTAGTAGAGAATCTTGCCTTTATCCATTTTTCTATTTCAGTGTTTTTTTGTTTTTTTTGTTTTTTTTTAGGTTTTTGCCACAGGGTGCATGTGCTTGTCAGAGATAGACAGAGAGAGACAAGAGACGGAAAGTCAGAAATCACTCCCTTGGGGGGGGGGGGGGGCCGGCCCGCAATCC